TCGTTGGAAGCATAGATATGACTAGGAAGAAGACGTGATTTAAAGAGAGAGAAAGAGAGATAGGGAGAGATATATTTTTCTAATTTGTAGCCTTTAGTTTTAATTTAATTAACTAAATTATATATTGAGTTACCATTATTTCCCTATCCAAAGTTTTAAAATGATTGGTTGACATTGAGTTACACATTTATATAATATTTGTGTAATTACATATGATCATATCCCCCCTCTCTCTCTTTCTCTCTCTCTCTCTCTCTCTCTCTATATATATATATATATATATATATATATATATATATATATATATATATATATCTATATATATATATATATATATATATATATATATATATAGGAAATCTCCGATAAATTCCTAATATTTTGGACTTGTTTACGGTTTAATCCCAATATTTATTTTTTGAACAGAAAAGTCTCAATTATCTAATTTTATACGATAATATGTCATTTTATGTTGAATAAAAATAAGAAATATTTCATTAATTTAGACAAAATATTAAATAATCGAAACTTTTATTTTAAAAACCAAAAATTAAAATAAAACTTCTGAATAAGATTAAAATTTTATGGAAGAGTTCCCATTTAATCTACTATGAAAAAAAAAAAAATCTTCATGTAGAGGAAAGGGTGAATGGGTGATATTAAAAATGGTTGATTTATTGAACGCTACCGGCCCCTTCTTTGTCCCTTGATAACTTCAGTTTTGTTCTGACAAAAAGTAGAAGGAAGATGTGACTTGCAAGAACAAAACAAAGAATTAAATTAAAGAAAGTAATACATACGAATTGACGCTAAAGTTTTATTGGTTTTTTGTTATGTATTTTGCAAATACTTCCATTTTTATTCACATGCACAGCCCATGTGGCTCATAAAAATAAAAACTTAAAAAAAAATCTCGTCATTTCATACCAAAAGTTAAAGACAAATAAATTCTTAATAAATATATTTACATCATGCCTATCATAATTAAAAAAAATTATATCAATATATTATTTTCTTAGAATGTCAAAACTCAAAAGGAAGCAACAAACACAATAATAATCAAAAGAAAGAGATTTCACTGATAAATTTGTTGTATTTTGGTTCCTTCATCATAAATTCTAATGCACCTTCAATTCTTCAATAAGTAATAATGTGGTTATAATATAATGTTCCATGTGATAACATGACCATTAAAATATCAATTATGAAAAAGAGTGTTTTCTGTACTTAAAGATTACAAGAATATTAAAAACAGAAATTACATTTGTGGATGCATAAACTGTAATTGTTTATTCATTTGGAATAAGAAACGGATCATAACATATGGGTTTTAGCCCATTAAATATTAAAAGCATATGGTCTCCATTAAATATTTCTATAACCATCTAAATTCCCCCACCCAAAAAAAAAAAAAACATAAATGTCTGAATGTAACAAACATAACAGAACATACAAAGAGGCTTAATGACAAACCAAACATATATTTTTTTTTTTCGAACAGCCACATTATGTAAAAAAGACTAGCAAATAGCTAGAGGAAGAAACAATTACAAAGAGTCATAAAGAAGAGGGTTTTGCAACCACTGGATCCAAGAAATATTACTTTTACTACATCTATTCGAAAACCAATTGAAAGAGTGAATGACGATACTTTCAAAAATATGACTTTTCCTCATGCTATGCGTCTGGAACACCACACTATTCTTGTAAGACCAAATAACCCAAATCGTGGTGATAATAATTACTTCAACAACTATTCGTTTCGTATGACTCAATGTAGTGCTATCAATCCAACTCAAAATCTCAGAGACATTTAGGAACAGAGGAAAAGGAAGATCAAGCCACTTTACCACTTTGTTCCAAATTTCTTTTGTTACGTCACAAATAAGAAAAACATGACTACAATCTTCAATCTGAGAACACATAGGGCATATCATAGAAGTCAAATCAATGCCCCTGTTAACCAAATTAACTCTGGTAGGGAGTCTATCAAGAATGGTTCTCCAAAGATGAATATTAAGTTTAATAGGAACAAGCTTACACCAGCGTGTCTCAGTCACACCTTCTAGTAAAGTGATGTTATCAATATGGTTTCTAATGTTATTAACAGTAAAACCATCATCAGAACTAATTGCCCACTCCTAAGTATCTGGCCGATCAACACACGAGACATGAGAAATAAGCTCAATAAAAAACGAGAGCTGGGAAGCCGTGACACCACCGTCCCGAATTTGACGATTCTAACTCCAAACCCAACCACTATCCCTCCCATCTATCAGCAACACAATAATCCTTCACCTCTTCCAAAGCATACAGTCTCGGAAACTGTAAAGAAAGGCTCTCTTCGCCAGTCCAAATGTCATTCCAAAATCTAGTATTTTTTCCATCACCAACTCGTCTAATAAAAAAAGAATGGGGAACAATGTGAAGAGCATCAAGCTTATCATATAACTTCACAAGATTGGCCCACACCCCCTCCCTTCGGCTTTGGAGAATTTTTCTCCAACCCACCATGAGCACCATGAATATTGTGAATCACCTTCACCCAAAGCGCTTCTCTCTCATGATAAAAACGCCACCTCCGTTTAACAAGCAACGCCATATTAAAAGCTTTTAAACTTCCAATACCCAAACCACCTCTATCCTTGGAATTTAACACCAAGTTCCATTTTACCCATGAAATCTTTCTATCTGAATCGCTACCTCCCCAAAAGAACCGAGAGCGCATAGATTCTAAGACATTATTCACATACCTTGGAATTTTAAACATGGACATATAGTAAATACCAAGGCTATTAAGAACAAATTTAATTAACGTTAATCTACCTCTCACAGATAACAAATTTACTTTCCAAGTAGCCAATCTCTTTTCAAATTTTTGTATCACCGTTTTCCAATTAACCACACGATTCATATTGCACCAACCGGTAACCCAAGATAAAGAAAATGGCAAATCAGCTGGTGCACAACCTGTAATAACAACCATCTCTTCCACTTGTTGAAATGGAATACATATACCATACAAATTCGATTTTTGTAGATTTAATTTGAGACTTGACACCAAGTAAAAGCAATTAAGAATGCCAACCAGGTTAGCAATATTTTTATCATCCCACTCTCCTAAAAATAAGGCATCATCGGCATAAAAAAGATGAGACAAATAAAGGCCACCGTCTCCAACCACTGCACCTCGAAATAACCCATGACTCACTGCATCCTCTAAAGCCACATGTAATCCTTCCATAACAAGAATAAAGAGAAAAAGAGACAAAGGGTTACCTTGACGAAGACCTCTCTGAGGTGAAAACTCCTTTGTAGGGCTTCCATTCACTAGAATAGAGGTTCGGGAAGAAACCAGGCAAGCTTTAGTCCAGTGTATCTATCTTTGATCAAATCCCATATGCAACATGACCTGTAATAAGTACTCCCAGCTAACTGAATCATACGCCTTATCAAAATCAACTTTAAGAATCATCAATTTTTTCTTTTTTCTTTTATACCGCTGAATGATCTCATTCAACATCAAAGGACCATCAAGGATTTGTCTGCCTTTAACAAAAGCAGACTGCACAGGATTCACTAGACCATCAATCACCAAAGCTAATCTATTAGCTAAAGCTTAGCAATAATTTTATATTGCACACCAATTAGGTTAATCAGTCTATATTCTTTAAAGATCAAGGGGCTATCTACCTTTGGAGTCAAAGTAATGAAGGACGAATTACAACCATTAGGGATATGAGCCGTATCAAAGAGTTCTTCAACAAAGTTGCATATATCCTTCTTCATAAGCTCCCAAAACCTTTTTATAAACCAGAATGAAAAACCATCTGGACCAGGTGCCTTATCACTCCCACATGACCAAATAGCAGCCCGAACTTCCTCTTTAGAGAACCGCAAAACCAACATCTCCCTCTGAGCCGACTGGAGATGCATAAGTCGAGAACTAGGATGAAAAGAAGACGTATCAAGAATCTTGCAAATTTTTTTCAAAAAATTGAAAGAATTGGTCTTTAACATGAACCGAATCACTAACCCAAGAACCATCAATCATTAAACCCGAAATTGCCAATTTTCTTCTTTTTCTTTTAAGCAGATTATGAAAAAAACTAGAATTCTCGTCCCCATCTCTTCCCTATTTGATTTTTATTTTTTGTACCGCATCCATTCCTTCAATCTTGTCAAGATCATATAGTTGCTTTAAAATATCTATTCTAGCCGAAGCAATATCTCCATCATGTCTACACCGTCTAATAACGAATCGATATCATTTAAATTGTTCAAAAGATACTTCTTCCGACCATTGTTATTAAAAACCACCCCTTTATGCCATACTTTCAGTCTATTTTTGACATTTTTAAGTTTATTTTTAAAAACAATAAACTTATTTTCATTTGATCCCATCTCAGCATGTATCCAAGCATCTCTGACCGTATCTTGAAAACCATCTAGCATAAACCAAGAATGGAAGATCTTAAAAGGAATGGGACCACAATCAACCTTATCATTCTTTAACACAATAGGACTATGGTCTGACCATAATCTCGCAAGAACCACACGTATCATGCTGGAATACCAATCCAAAACACCGTTTGAAACAAGAAACCGATCCAATTTGGCCATTTTAGTGCGCAAACGATCAACTCTTGTAAACCGTCTCCCTCCCAAATTAACATCCAAAAGATCTAAATCTCTTATGAAGTTGTTGAAATCATTTGCTTCATATTGACAAAAAGACGTACCCCTCCTTTCACTAGGACTCCGAACAACATTAAAATATCCAAATATTTTATATTCCCCTTGATTATGACGCATAAAAGAAAGCTTTCTTATCATGTGTACCTTGCGAAGCGTAAATATTTACAAGAAAGCAAATACATCGAGACGAAACCACCTCGCCTTTCACAATTAAAACATTAGACACTGTCCAAATTTTTTTTAAGAAAACAGCGGGATCCCAAATAGTAAGGATTCCACCGGAACGTCCCTGAGCACTACTACTAGCAACCTGGAACTGATAATTACCACACAACGATTTTATTATAAATAACTCCATCTTGGACATTTTCGACTCCTGTATACCCAGCACACTGATACAGTGCTCCATACAAAGTTTCTTTATCCACACTCTCTTTTTGTGGCATTTCACACCACACAAATTAACCAACATAATATTCATTTAAAACCGATTTGCTCTCCTTTTCTTTCTAACATGCGACTCATATCTTCTTTACACCCTGTGAAATCATAACCCAACACTTTACCAAGTTCTACATATTTTTCCAATTCTTCAATAAAAGAATCCACACTCACATTTTTATTCCTATATTTCAAGTTATCACCTTTAATATAGGAAGCTGAGAATGTTTTTTCCGTAGGATCAGAAGACGAGTGAACCGGTGAGTGAAACTTATAACCATTAAACCCTGGGGAAGCAACTAAAGATCCGAATTTATTACAACTATCCCCTTCACCAAAACTATCTTTCTGACTCCCTGCAGAACCTGTATCCTTTACATTTACTCCTCTAGAAAAGGGTCGATCCCCTTTATCATCAACATCAACAGGTTCTCTTGTTGCACCAACTTCATCGGCGGAGCCACCTTCATTCATATCAACCTTATTGTTTGGCACCACATTGGAATCCATTTTTTTAGAATTAACAAACCCACCCGTCTCCTTGTTGCAAAACTCTTCCTCGCTTGAAACATCTTCACCAATTGCTTCTTTTATCCCAGAAAACTTATCATTATATATTATTGGGTCTTCAGGAAGAAACTGTTCTAATTCATCGTTATAAATATCAACATCTGCTCGTTCTCCATTGCTATCCTCCTCTTCTCCTTCACTTAACTCAGTATCAAGTCTTTGTGATTCTCCTTCATTCTCCTCACATCCATCAGATTTTTTATTTCCGGAACCTACATTGCTATCTCCTGAACATGGATTTTGTATGATTTTCTTTCAATAACAACAGTTGGACTTTCATTAATAAAATCTAATGACTGGGTAGCCACACACACCTTTCCACTACTTAATTGTTCGTCCAAATCTTCACCATCAAACAACACCTGACCATATATTCTTGCAATTTTTTTATATGCAATGATAGACCACGCAGAAAGGGGTAGACCCTGGATTTCTAACCAGACTCCACGTTCTTTCACCACAAAAGACTTGTTTACCGGAACCACCTCCTGAAAATACTTCATCATCCCCTCATGTTGTTTAAACTGAACACATGAAGCTGTTGACAAAAACTGGAACCAAACCCATCTACCCCCAATAAATTTAATATTAACTTCCACAAATCCTTCTACATTACAAAGACTGTAAAGTTGGGGGATAATATATGCATATCGGACTTTACACAAGATAATCCTTGAGGAATCATCCATAGCCATGAAATCACCAGCAACAAGATTGATGGTTTTACTTGCTTTTGTATTCACCTGATTCCTTTCACCATTACCTCTATGAAGAATATCAACATAAGAACTTCGATGAACCTGTTCAGTGCCCTGCATGTTTGCACTCTGTTTTGGACCATAATCTTTTTTATGAATGTTTCCAGAAGGTTTAGGTGACTTTTGGTCCATATTAAATCTTGCCATTGATACAAATAAGTGAAAGTTCCCCACCCAGATACCAACAAGTTTTGATTCCAGCCTTTTCTCATCTGCAATTTTTAAAAAATGAACGAAAGCAAACTTTTTCCCCAATTTTGATATTTTCCTGGCAATATAGACATCCACAACCTTAGCATACTCATCAAACAATCTCCACAAATCCTTCTCTATCATGTCTCTTGGGAAGTTAGTAACAAAAAACGAAGTAGAGAGTCGCTCTACATCCTTCTGATTAGAATTTACCTGTGCCCTATTCGACCGATCGTTTCCAATCTTCCATTCGTAGTGATTGTGGAAGGACATCTTGAGGCATAATCAATCGGAAAAGGAGAAAGGGGAGAAGAGAACACGGTGAGTTCCGACGTTTGATCCCGCCGGAGAAGATCGTCGATATCGCCGCTAATTAATCGGACAGGTTCGACAGCTAAGAGGATTCATGTGTAGGTTTCTTCTAAAACGAAGTAGAGAGTCGACAAACCAAACATATATCAAAGTGTTGGCCTATAAGAGCCTCGTTTATAAACGAAGCTAGACAAATATCCATGCATTGTGCACGTTAAATTTATGTATTTATTCACATTAACTATGAAATAATAATTCTTACATTAAATTGATATATAAATTTTTAAGTTTTTTGAACAATATAATTAGATAAACATATATTAGAGTTAAGTTTTGCAATGTCCTCTAAATAAGAATAAAATTTAATATAAATCTTGTTTTAGTGTATTATAAAATTGGTTGTTTTATTGAGTATTGTTTTTAACAATTGTTATGGTTAATTAATTTAAAAACTTATTTTTAAAACATAAAAAAACACATTTACATAAATTACCTCAAAATATAAATTGCAAGAGAATATAAAACACAATAATAATAAAATGTTAATTGTTTGACACATATTGCTGTTGAAAACTACTTCATAGGTCTTGTCAGATGTAAAAATAAATTTTCAAAATTTTCTTAGGTACATTTGAATGTTAATATAATTTGAAATTAATAGTTATTTTAAAACATATGAAATAAACGGCTTATGAATACGTTTGATAAATATTAAGTAAAATTAAAAAATTATTGTCATAACTTAAGCTTCTTCAAAAACATCTATTAAAGCATGTTCAATGATAGTTTATTTTTATTTTTATTTTTATTGCTTTTTAATTTTTTTTTAAATGAAATATTAGTATTCTATAATTATTCAATACCATTAGAACATATAACTTATTTTGTTAATATTCATTGACCATTTAATATTTTAATATATATATATATATATCTATATATATAATATATATTATATATATATATTAAAACTAACAGAATCATGTAATCAATCAATTAATGCTTTTATATATATATCTATATATATATATATATATATATATACTATATAATATCTATATATATATTATTATATTATTAGGAAGTAAAACGGATAATAAACAAACTAAAAGCACACTAGACAAAGTATTTACGTGGTTCGGTCAAGGTGGCCTATGTCCACGGACAGGAGGGGAGTATCTTTATTTCGGAGCTCTCAAACAAAAGTTACAAGTACAATTCACTAGAGATTCACCTAACACTCTAGAACTCAAGATACAAAATGACTTAACATGCATCCATATTTATAATTGAGGGATCATACCTAAAACCCTAATGGGTCAAGCCCATATGCCGATGAAATGTGTCAACCAATCACAATCCACCATGCAACATCTTTTGGAACATTCATCTTTGCACGAGCATCAACAAGACACATGATGGAGCATCATGATCCGTAGTGGCATATTATGATGCAAGAGTGGCATATCTGGATCACCATGACATATCAACCATCATGGTAGCACATCATGCAATAATCCTTGAGCATCTTCAACTTTTGATCTTCCTTGAACAATCTTGAGCGTCATAGGGGACGTCATAGCATACGACTCATCAAGGGATACCTTGGCATATCAAGGAACTAAGTGGTGCATCCTTGCATCAAGATGACGCATCATGCATGAGGATGACGCATCTTGATCAAAGGATGTCACATCCTCTCCAAGGTTGGCATATCTAGACATCCACTCCACAATGGCATATCCACCTCATGAATGGCATATCCAGTCACTTGGTGACATATCCTGTCTCTTGATGGCATATCAGGGCACTTGGAGGCATATCAAGTCACTTGGTGGCATATCAAGTCTCTTTGTGGCATATCAAGTCACTTCGTGGCATATCAAGTTCCAACAGTTGCGTACCTTGACTTCTAAGTGGTGCATCCAAGCATAGGATGCTCCATTCCACTTCTAGGTGCTCCATAACTCCTTTTAGAAGATTCATTCCTTTGTCACTTGATCTATTCCTTTGTCAGGAGATCCATCCCTTTCTCAGATGATTCGTTCCTTTGTTACATGCTCCATGAACCCCAAGCGCTCCATTGAGTTTCAAGTGCTCCATATGAATGCTCCAAATGCTCGAGTCAAATTTAACAATCTCCACCTTGACTTGAGCATCCTCTGAAGTCCACCTCAAACAAGAACTTCCTCTCCCATCCTGCCATTCGTCCCCGAAGGGACCTACCTCCTACGAACATCAAACAAGTCCAAGCAAAGCTTAAACTTCTCTCAGGGCAACGACCTTGTCACCATGTCTTCCGGATTCTCCTTCACATTTGACTTTTGAATGCATAACCTGCCATAGAGCATGATAGGTTTCTCCAACTTCAAAAGAAGACTTTAAACGAGACTAACCGCCAATGATCTTCTTATTTGCAAATCACTTTTCATGGTCCAAGTCTATCAATCCAACCAAGTCTGTATGTCGTGTATTAGCACCATACACCAGAAAAACATCAAGCGTTCCCTTCAAGTGTCACAAAATCCACTTGACGACTTCCGAATGAGCTTTTCCCCGATTACCTCGAACCGTCAAAGAAGTACCAACAAGTTTGGACTGATCATAATAGAACGACCGCAAGACTTTCTCAAAGTAATGAGAAATGTATAAGCATCCTGCTCTTTTATAATTCCAAATCTCCATCCTTGCTATCTTCTTTTCAACTCCGAAATCGTTCATCACAAACTCATTCTCCAGAAGCTTTTTCAAATTGTCTTTCCCGGTATCAGCAACACCAGACACTTCTTCCATAGGCTGAACAAGGGATTCCTCACATCTATGATGTTCCATGCTACCCTGTTGTTCCTCATTTATCACAAAACTGTGTGGGGTTTTTGTTTTAAACTCCACCTTCTGGCTAGCATCCTGATCGTTCCCCACACACTTGTATCATCTCCTCTCTGGTTACACATAACATATTCAAAGGTCACATCTCTGCTAGTAATGAATTTTGGAGTTTGATCTTCTCTGCATTACAGACAATTATCCTAGAGATATGCACTTCATTTCCCTGCGCTCCATTTTACCATCATTCACACGAGCATAAACAGAGCATCCAAACATTCGTAAACCAGTGTTCTCATAGGGTTTCCCATACACCACATCTTGAGGAGTCTTATAACGAATTGTAGTTGATGGAGATCTATTCGCCAGATAGCAAATAATATTGACTTCTTCTTCCCCGGTTTGCTCTGATAAATGAGCAGATAATCACATGCATTGAGCATGTTCCACCAGTGTTTGGTTTATCTATTCCGCCACTCTGCTTTGCTGTGGTGTTTTCCGTACAGTGTGATACCTCAATGTATCTTCTATTTTGCAGAAGTTTTCAAACGAAGCCTTGCAAAACTCCAACCCATTTTCTATTCTGAATGACATGACATAGATCCCATTGTATTTCTCAACCATTGTCTTTCATTCCTTGAATCGCCGAAACACTTCATCTTGATCCTTTTTCTTTCGAAAGTATACCCATGTCTTCCTTGAGTAATCATCGATAAAAGTCACACAGTATTGACATCAACCATGAGACTTTACATGAGAGGGACCCTACAGATCTGAGTGAACAAACTCGATAATCTCTTTGTTTGAGTGTTGACCCGAACTGAACTTCACCCTACTTTGTATCTCTTGAACACAAACTTCACCAGGTTCAACTTTTTCAGTTGCATCTCTACCAAACAACTCCTTCTTGATCACATGTCTCAACTTATGATGCCACAACTTTCATTAATCATCATATGGATCCAAGGATTGGGATACAGTCACCGTTCCCCCAATCGTACAACCATCCAGAATATAAATCCCATGATGATTTATCATTCCCTTCATGACTACAAGAGCACCTTTGGAGACTCTTAACCAATCACCCTCTCCAGAATATTTCAATCCATCCTTCCCTAAAGTGCCAACAGAAATCAAATTCTTTCGAAGTTCTAGGACGAACCAACAATCCAGTTTCTCGACCATACCATTATGCATCTTGATCTGCACCGTGCCACTCCCCTTGATAATGCTCACCCAATCATCACCCATCTTGACTGTTCCATTCCACTCTATGAAGGAGTCGAACCAGTCGCGATTTCATGGCATATTATAGGATGCTACAGAGTCCAAGACCCAAGCATCAACATAACTAGATCTACAAATTTTCAAAACTTCACCATCATCCCCTTCATCATAATTTCCTTTGAACCATAATAACATTGTTGTTGATTGGTCCAACACCATTATTTCCTTTCTTCAACAATGGACAATCTCTTCTGAAGTGCCCATTTTCCTTGCAGTTATAACATTTGATGTTGGATTTAGATTTAGAACTTGACTTCCCTTTATTACCCCCACCTCTATCTAAAGTTCTTCCTCTGCATGCGAACAAACCGGAACTGGAAACTTCTTCTCCAATTGAAACTTTTCTTTTCAGTTCCTTGGACATCAAAGAATCCTTCACATCATTCATAGTGATTGTTGTCCTACCGTACAACATGGTATCAATGAAATTCTCATAAGAATTCGATAGGGAACATAAGAAGAAAAGTGTTTGATCTTCATCTTCAATTTTTAGATTCAAACTTTGTAAGTCCAAGATGATCATATTGAATTTGTCCAAATGATCCTTCACTTGGGTGCTTTCTGACATCCTAAGAGTATACAAAAGTTGCTTCTGATACAGCCTGTTCGCAAGAGAATTGTTCTGATACTTGTCACACAATTTCTTCAAAGCCCAGATGCACTTGTTAGATCCAAGAACTCTCTCAATACTTCATCTGTTAAACTCAACAGAATAGCGCTATGCGCTCTTTCAAGAATATCCACCTTCCTTTCAGCCACCATGTCTTTAGGCAGTTGAGCTTCTCCTTCCAGTTCCGCTACACATCCTTGTTGAACCAGAAGAGCCTTCATCTTCACCTTTCACAAAG